ATGGCCGTGATTTTGGGGATGTCACAATATACCCCATCAACAACACTTATCCCAGAATCTACCTCATCACCAACACAACCAACAATGAATGGATCTGTAGTTGAAAATATACAAGGTGAAAACAATTCCTTAGAAGATTGTGGACCAGATGGACATTTAACTGTTCATGTTTGGAAAAAAAACATGAGTTATCAATCATATCTGACAACTTTTTCTATGTATAACCTTTTGGTTTACACGTACATATCAATTCAAAAATTAACACATAACATGATTACTTGCAGGCTCATGCCACCAGGCCCTTGTTCACACTTTATTAGTTGTTCCTTTTTAAAAAGAGTAGATCCACAAGGTTACTCTTGGGGAAAAGTAACCAAAGAAATGCGTGAATTATATTGGGATGAGTTTCAGGTAATTAACTATATGTGATAAATTGTTATTTGGTAAACATTTACATTTAAACTTATGTTTATATTGTTAATGTGTAGCAAAATGTTGTTGGGATGAAACAATAGACTCGCTAATGAGACAAACTTGGGCAAGGAAAGTGGCACAATGTTATGGTCAATATCTCTTCAACATGCGGAGCCCACAAAGAAGCAAACATGGCTTTAAAGCAGCTCATATTCCATAGGAAATTTGGAACTCCTTGTAATTAAAATGGAATACAGATGAATACAAGCTAAAATCTGAGCAGAACAAGAAAAAATAGGCGTACAGTGTGACTGATGGAGTAGCAAAACCTACACTTAACGTTGGATCAATGTTTATATACGTTTATCTATATATTTATCATTTTATGGTATTTATGGAGAAGAGAAAATTAGGAAGTGATCCACCCCATAGTGAATTGTTCTTGTATACACAAACAAAGAATCACGATGAAGTCACTTTCACAAATGAAAATGATACAAAAATTCATGTAATATTCATTTCAGTGTTAAACTTTTATATTGTAGCTAGTCCATAATATCATTCATAACTTTGATATCTTGTAACTTATATTAGTTTGTAGGCGGCCTATACAGAAGAACGGGAAGAGTTAGAAGCTAAAGGTGCTGAATTTGAGGAGGACAAGCTATTTTATTATGTTGTTGGTTGTCATGACAAAAAAAAAGACTTTATTGATTAGGCTCTTTTTCAAAAGGCGGTTCCCAATAGAAAAGGTAAAACGGATGTATCTTACATTTCGAAAAAAAATGATGAAATAGAAGAAATGAGGGAGCTTCTTGCTAAACAAAATAAGCAAAACAAAGAGCTTAAAGAAATGATGAAGACCCAACAAGAAGAAAACAAAGCAAGGGTCGGACATCTTGAAAAACAACTTCAAACGAAAATTGATCTTATGAACGTCTTTACAAAACAATAACACTAGTATGTCATAAAGTGTTGATATATGTTTGTTGCAGAGTATTTATTTTAGATTATCAACTTTCCTTTTTCTATGTAATAAATAATTATTGTATTATTTTATGATATAATGTTTTGATTTTTTTTTATTTTTGTTTTTCATATATTAATACAAAATAATTTGGATATAATTTATAAATAAATTATCCATCGGTCCATATGGAATCTGGAATTTGCTAGGGATTAATGACCACGGAATTTTCTAGGAAGTCATCAAATGGAATTTGCTATGGATTCATCACCATAGAATTTGCTAGGGACTCACCATCACAAAACTTATTAGAGAATGGCCACCACGGAATTTACTAGGGATTCACCACCACATAATTTGCTGGGGAATCATCACAACGGATTTTGCAAGGGAGTAACTACAACGGAATTTGTGATGGAATAACTACCACAAAATTTGTGATGGAATCCTACTATGGAATACACGACGGAATACCATCTACCACAGATTTCATTCTGTTGTTACATTTGTGACAGAATGATTGTTTCCCTAGCAAACACTCGCTACGAGGTTTTTTAGGACGAAACTCGGTCATCGCAAATTATGTCGCTATTCGTCCTTTGCAACGGAATTTCAACTTTTCGCAACGAATTCCTTCCCTAGCAAAATCGCGTTTTTCTTGTAATGAGATGACGACCACAGACTATTCTAGACAGTCTAGTGGAACACTGACAGGCTCGTAATTTGTAGGTGGTTTTGAACTATGTGTTCACTAGGTGTACTCCATCCCCCTTATGGTTTCGTTATTGACATGTATTGCTGAGGAATCCCCTAAGCAATATTGTCACATCCTGATGAAAATCCTTAGGCTAGGTCCCTTAATTTAGATGCTTTAGGGATAGAAAGTTAGGATAACGAGAATGAGTAATCGGGTTGACTGATTTGATGAAAATTAATAAACTTAATTATTGTGGGTTGAAAACCCTATGTGCTCACCAGGCTCTCAAGCCTAACCCACTCAATTTCTTGCGTTACAAGTAGTTGCAAAAGAGCACAGGAGTGTTGATTTGATGTGAGATCGATGGATTATACTCCATTAGAATAATAGACGTTGTAAGGCTTATATTATTTCTGTTTATGCTTATGTACTGTATAAACAATGACATCCCAACGTTTTTAATATAATGAAAACATATATCTTCGGAAATGATTTGATAATTTACTTATCATCTTTTTGGGAACAAATAATGCAACATATTTCTTTAAAATGATAATCTGATTTTCAAATAAATCATAAACAAATCAGTTTTTTCTGTCCGTGAAATTCGAGATGTCACATTGTAGGTACAGTTCGGCTGGTGGTACATAGCCAAGTAAGTGTCCCTTACAAGTCATATAGCCATGTAAGCTCGGTAACTGATGATCCATTAAAAATTAACGAAAGTGATTTGATTGACATGTAACTTGAAAATTTAACGACATAATGAGCAAAAAAAAAAATTTTAATGACCAAATCCAGTAAATTGCAATAGTTGATTATGTTAAAATAACATTTTCCCTATAAAAACGAAGGATGACTAATGATGTGGGTCACTGCCAGGTAAGCTTCCTCGATACGTCACACTTCCATGTAGGCTTGTTAACGGGGTAATTGTGTAAAATTAACAAAAGTTATTTGACAGATAACTTGTAAGTTTAGTGAGATATTATGTAAAAATATAGTTTAAAGAGCAAATCGAATAAATGATAAAATTATGAAATTAGTTTAGTGGTTTTCCATTTTCTTTGGATTTTGTCCAACAACTTTTCAGTTTGCAAACTACATCCAAACAAATCAAATTTTTTTGTGATTTGGCTCATCAACTTGAAAAGACTAACTTATCTTCTTGATATTTTAAACTTTTTGATATTTAACATAAAGTTTAATTAAATAAGAAAATATCACATCCTCCCTCCTCTTTGTTTCTCTTTATTTCTCTCTCTCTATATATCTCTCTCTCTCACTCTCTCTCTCTCTCTCTCTCTATATATATATATATATATATATATATATATATATATATATATATATATATATATATATATATATATATTATAGAAAGACTACACCTTCATCTTCTCATCTTTTTCTTGATATCGCCACCAACACCATCAGGATCCTCTCTATCTTTCCACATCTTCACAAATCAACCACCATTAGATAAAGCATCGTTCTACAAACCACCACCACAACCATCAACACCTATGCTCATCGTGTTTAATCGGCTTCCATATTTACTTAATAAGACCACTAACCATCACCTTTGACCATCTCTAATTCATCAAACCTAACAACACCAACCACCATACATTTCCATCATCTTCAACATTGTTCTAGTTCTGGGCAATCTATTTCCTTATATACATGCTTAACTATAGATAATCGATATTGTTAGTGACACCAAATGAGTTTGACTAAGGGTTTTTATATCACTGATTTCTTCGTTGTTAATAACTCTCTATAAACATCAAAACGCACACCATACATCACAACTAAGAGTAGAAAGACATGGAAGTAGAGATTAAGAGTGTGATATCTACACTAAAATCCCAAAATTGCGTAGACATCTTTCCTTTTTTGTACTTCCTCTTTGTATGTTATCTTATATTTGCGTTTGTATGTTTTTTTAAATCGATCTTAGGACTAGGTGAACCCAAGAAAGTGTAAGTGAATGGTCTTGATGATGTTATATGAATTGATCATGATGAACAAAGAGCATAGAGATAAAACAAATTAACAAGAAGGATCGATCAAGTTGGGGGAATCCAAGAAATTAAACGAGTTTGTTGATGATAATAATGTGAGTCGTACTAAACGAGTTGGTCTTCTTATACACACACACAAAGAGAGAGAGAGAGAGAGAGAGAGAGAGTTGTTATGGGTCTATTTCTTTTTATTTAATTTTAAAGCAATCAAGTAATATTAAAACAGCAAAAACTCAACAAAAATGAAAAAAATAGTTTTCTTTAAGAAATGACTAATAACATATTCAACAAAATTAGTTTGTAGTAGGTAGTTTATAACAGGTAGCTTGTAGCTTATATATTTTGTTAAACACTATATGAAGTAACATTTATATTTGAAAGATTTTGTTTAAAGTAAACACTAGAAGCTTGTAGTGACGAACGGTGTTTTATGTTCAAAACCAAACGATTTATCAAACGCTAAAAGATAAAAACTCTTAAACGCCCCCAAAACCACAACCAAACGTGGGTTTGGATGGGATGGCTTGGACCAAAACCAAAGAAAACAAAAACGATATGGACTAATTTTTCAATTTTGTTTAATTTCTTTGAAATGAAAGAAATAACACTTTTGTTATTTTATGGTGCTGTAAAAGTATGGCCCTGATCCAAGAAGATCATAATTCCCAAGCATTTACATGTGTGTACACATGATCCGTCAAACCCTGTTTCACGATAAAAACACATAGCTTGAGTGAGATTATTATTATTATTATTATTATTATTATTAAGATTTGGAATTTGTATGTTCATTTATTATCTTTACATGTTAACAATAAATATATATCTTGGATTTAGATAATTAGTTTTTATAACCTAAACCATAATTAATATATGGATCATAAATATCTAGACCCTACAAATATATTTTTTAACAAGTATAATAAATACATCGGATTAGTTTTTTATATGAAGGGAGTAATATATAACCACATGAACCTCTACACCACTTCTCTTTGTTCTCATCAAACAATTTTCTCTCTCTTTTCTCTCACACCAATTAGAAACAAAGCCATTGGACAACACAATCACCAACAACTAGTGCTGAACAAGTCTTGTTTGAGCCATGATGAACCTAAAGGAGACTGAGCTCTGCCTTGGCTTACCTGGTGGTGGCGGTGGAGGCAGTGGCGGCAACGAGGCGGAGATGTTGAAAACCACCGGAAAACGAGGCTTCTCTGAAACCATTGATCTTAAGCTTAATCTTCAACCAAATGAGTCATTGTCATCTAACGACAACACCTCCACAACAACTCATGTCAAACCACCAACTAAGTAAGTCTTTCATTAATTTACATTCCTTTTTATATTTTTTTTGTTTCAAAAAGACTCATAAAACCATATGTGAGATGAACTTTTTTGGCTTCTTTCAAATTCTTCACTGGAATATAAGATTAAGATTCACAATGGAATTCAACCAACCAAGTAGAGTTTCCTTATGATCTTATGATTTTATTACCAAAATTCTAACTAATAAGAACTTCAAACGATAATTTAAAGATTCTGCACTCAAGTTGTCCACTACTTTTTCATTTCCCGCTAATGTATCACATCTATATATGGTAATTATCTACACGATGACAATTTCATCGATAGATTTACATAATACTAATTTGGGTGTTAATAAATAATAATGTTTATATGTTAATCAATAGAGCACAAGTGGTGGGCTGGCCACCAGTGAGGAACCACCGGAAAAATATAATGGCTCAAAAGAGCAACGCAGACGAACCGGAGAAGGTAGCTGCCACCACCGCAACTTTCGTGAAGGTTTCAATGGATGGTGCACCATATCTTCGAAAGGTTGACCTAAAGATGTACACAAGCTACCAAGAACTAGCTGATGCTTTGGCCAAAATGTTTAGTTCCTTCACCATGGGTACGTACGTATATGCTTATGTAATCTTTACTTCTATATATATATAAATTACCATATTTATATAGAACCTTTTATTGTATCTATTTATTTAATTAAAAAGAATTCATACCAGTATATTTATAGTAAATGAGTGATCATAAGTCACAATAATGATTAAGATAACCAATAAGCTAAAGCAAATTAAATATATACAAACCTATATATGTTTAATTATAGACATGATAACTACTGCACTAGGTATGGAAAGTGGATCTTGGAATCATTACAAAGCAAATGGGAATTTTTATACATATATATTTATATCTAAAGTTAACTCTAAGTTGTTTTTTATGATTAAAATTCGACCCACCTTAGCCGATTTCCATTATATAAAGTTTATATGTACGTAGTTGTGATTCAAAATATAATTTTTTACGTTGTCTAATAGTAACGTGATCGATATTTATAATAGGAAATTATGGGAGACAAGGAATGATAGACTTCATGAACGAAAGCAAGTTGATGGATCTGCTGAACAGTTCTGAATATGTTCCTAGTTACGAAGATAAGGATGGTGATTGGATGCTTGTCGGCGATGTTCCATGGCAGTATGTTCTTACCACTCACCCTATAATTACTGTTATTATTTTTATCATTATTATTATTATTACTCGTATATATATTTGAGAAACTTAATTCTTGTTCTAAAATTTTGAATACTCAATAAAATTCCTTGAAGGATGTTTGTGGCTTCATGCAAAAGGCTCCGAATAATGAAAGGATCGGATGCGATTGGGCTTGGTAATAACACTAGAATCGCGAATTTTAGTCCTATTTTCATCAATATATTGTCTTTATTTATTTGTTTACCATGCATTTTCAGCACCAAGAGCAATGGAGAAATGCAAGAGCAGGTGCTAAAAACAGATCTTATTTCAAGATCTTCATTATTGTGTTTGAATTTCTTTTTTTGGGTTTTCTTTTGTTTAAAGTTTGATAGTATATAGACTTCATAAAAAAATTGTGACATTTGTAATCAACAATAAGCAAGGAGTTTGTTTGTTTAATTATGTTTTTCGTTTAATTCGTGGTGGTGTGTAACTAAAGGAAATCTTCTACATTTTGCTCAAATAGGTTTCTTATATAATTATTTGTTCGAACTATATACAAGATTAGTGGTAAATAGTTCATAAATAGTTCTTATATAATTTTAGAGAAAAACACAATTCTTAATTTTTATTTAATATATATATATATATATATATATATATATATATATATATATATATATATATATATATATATATATATATATATATATATATTCTGATACACAAGATTCTTGATATCTTTTAAATTATAGTTTAATCAAAAATAATTAATTGAATAATTAAGCATGGGATTATATATGGTGGAAGGGAACAAGGGCATGTGCATGTTTCTACTCATGGATATTTGTTTACAAATGGATGCATGATCAATTATTGCTGTACATATGATGCATGAATGTAGCATGTTCATGGGTACTTTGGTCACCTTCTTTTGGTATTGCTTGATTTATGATGGTGGGCACATTCACATGCATGTGTTGGCTTGTGAATCTCAATACGTGCTAAACGTCTTCTCTACCAAATCATAGGTGGTAATAGATTGATTTATTTAACGGAAAATAAAGTATTATTTTATTTTATATATATTTAGTATTGAATTTTCTTTTGTGTTTATGTTTTAAATGTTTAACTTTTTTGTTTTTGTTATATACATTTAGTTCTTAGAAACAGTTACTTCAGTTAAATCAAAGAAATAACTTAATAGTATACTATATTTTTCAATTTATACATATTTAATCCTTAATTTTTTTTAATTTGTTGTAAAATAAGTCTTTATTTTTGTAAACTTTTAACTCTTATTATCAGTTTTTTCAGGGTTTTGTCGATCACGACATCTCATGTGAAATAATCATTAACGATGTGTTTGAGGTTGTTGGTGCTTCAGGCCACCATGAACTCGACTATTTAGTTGCTTCGATCTTGTGGTTTAGCTTACGTCTTTTGTTTTAAGCATCGTAACCTCTTCATAAAATCTTAAATTTTAATAGTCTTTATATATACACGTTCATATTTGAATCTACTACAATTTTATTTTAAATTACTCCCGTTAAAATGTAATGTATTAAATATGTATAAATGAGTTTTTATGTAGATCGTAATTAGAAATGTATTACTTTTTAACGTAAGTAATCTAAATAAAAGTTGTAGTAGACTTAAATTTGAACGTGTGGATATGGAGATCATTAAAATCTAAGATCGTGAGAAGAAGTTAGCGATGCTCTTAACACAATACATAATCTAAACGACAATACTAAAGCAACCAAAACACTTGAGGTCGCGGTGGGCATAACCACCAACAACCTCGAATACCTTACTATTAATTGCCCCATGTATGATGTCGTGAAAAAGCCTAAAAAAATCATAATAAATGAATGTGTACAAAAATAACAAGGGGTTACTTTGCAGCAAAAAAAAAAAGATTAAAGACTAAATGTGTACAAACTAGGAAATATATTACCCTATTAAGTCATTTTCCCAGCTTACATGGATTAGCCTATTATAACACTAGTACAAAACTTGCCTATATCCCTGTAAAAAACCCATTAAATACCTTTTATGACGAGGTTTTTTTTTTTTTTTTTTTTTTTTTTTTTTTTTTTTTTTTTACGAAAATGAGAGGAAAGATCGTGTCATTGAAGATAAGTTATGATATCGTTCAATTAAGGTGAGCATAACCTATGAAAATCCATTAGTATTGTTCAAACCCGTCATAATATGGTAGGGTGTTTTTGAACATCTATCTATCTTATTTTAAACCTTTATGAGTAATACACCTATAGTTGTGTGCTTTTTCATGTCGAGTGATAAATGCTTACTTACGGTGACTGTTTGTAAATTTTTTTGCATTCATTGTTAACTTTTGGAGACAAAAATATAATTAAGCTGTAAGGATAAGTTATCTTCCCTAAAATGTTTAATCATTTATCATTATTATTTTTTACATACACTGAAAAATAAAAGTTTAAGACCATAAAGCCTTGTTCCGAATCGTTTACCATTTGGGTGTGGGTGATGTAATTTAGATGATCCGGGTGTTCGATTTGTGTTTTGGAGCCATTGGATATTTTGGTAAAAGTGTCAGGTCAGAATGGAAAATTGGATTTTTGTTCGGAAAATTTTAAGGCAAGTATGAGTCGATAATAACATAGAGCTTCTCGTTACCTTTTCGTGGATATAAGGATCGTTGAAATCGGACTTATAATGGAAAAGTTATGGCCTTCGGAAGAATTTAAGGTTTAAGAATAACCCTACTACGCAGGGTGTACATAGGGAGTGCGCAGGGAGTACTAGTACGAGGTCCAGTACGCGAGGCATACAATGTCGTACACTAAGGGTAGTCAGCAAGTTGGCCGCGGATCTGAAGCCTCGTAAGATGGGCGTACGAGGGTTACACATAGCGTACCCAGTTTTTTTAGGGTGTTGCACCCTATATATGGTCCTTAAGTTCCCAGGGTTGGCCTCTTTACCAGCCTTCATTGCCCTAAAACCCTAAATCTTGGCCCTTAACCTCCATTGTTGTGTCATTGAGCTCTTGAGAAGAATTTGGTGGTTATTTTGCTCTTTTTGAAGGAAGTAAAGAAAATTGAAGTTGCTTTGCTTGGTGTGAAGTTTATAGATCCAAAATATACCTTGTCTTCTCCTTTCTTAGATATCTTCATATTATGATTTGATATGCTTTTGGTTCCTTTTAAGTTAAGAGCTCTATTAAGCCATGCATGCACGTAACGTTAGCAACTTTACGTGATAATCCATCCCAATGAAGTCAGATCTATGTTTTGGTGTGAAGTCTTAATGTATTGGGAGCTGAAAACTAGAAGTTGGCTGAATGGAGGAGTATGTTACACGTAAAAGCATGTATGCGCAACGTACAAGCCCTAATGTATATACGCTTAGCATATAGTTGAGTATGCCTCGCGTACTCAGCAGATTGAGTTTTGTTGTTTTGGCATTCGGTTTTGGGCTAGAGTGGGATTGGTTGTCTTGGGCCATGTTGGACCATCATAATTCCATGGTTGGGATGTTGAGATTTTGTTGAACTCACTTAGGAGAAGGCCCATGAAAAGGTTTGGCCCCAATTTTGAAAATTGGGCCATATTTGGGCCATAAGTGTTTATTTGGAATTTGGGCCTTTTGATTGTTGGTTTGGTCATAGGCATTGGACCAAGTTGAGCAAAGGGTAAAAATATCTTTTACCCTAGTTTGGACACTTAGTGTGGGATGGGATCTGATTGTTGATGGATGATTATTTTGGTGATTGATATCTCGGGGATCTTAGCAGGGCAGCAACTGGAGATTCTTGTTGTAACATCCCATATATTAATTAAATAAATAGATAAGGGTTAATATAAATAGAAACCCTAAAATCATTCATAATTTTTCAAGGTGTTGGTTTTCAGGAGTTAGTCGTCATAATTTAGAAGTTGCGAGTTAAAAGCGTGAGTACTGTACTGGTTTTGTGATTATTTATGAAGGCGCGGGGGCTACAATTGAAAATAATATGTAGACAAGGGGCTGCTTGGTAATTTTGGGTTTATTATGAAAAGAATTACGGAAGTGAGGGCTAAAAAATTAAATTTGAGAGTTACATTTAAGAGATTGTGAATAGGAGGGGCCGATTCTGGAATTTCCGTTATCAAATTATATAGAACGGGATTTTTCACCCGTGCCTTCCATTCGAGGTTAAAGGAGTGCCATTGATCAACCCTAACCCTAGATGGTATACTCCAACCGCCAACCTCTTTAGCCGTTACTACCCAGCCGAGATTGACCGCCACAACCGCTGTCGATGACACCTTGAACCACCGAGCACTCTTCTGCGATGCCATTGCCGACGAAGCTGGAGGCCAGGAGCTAATTCTTACACGCTACCGTTGTTATTGAAGACAAGGGTCGACGAGTTCATGGTCGTCGCCGCTTCTCCCTTCCCCAGTGTTGTTTTCCTTCATTTTCTAGCCATTTCTCGAGTCCTATCGCCATCTCCTCCATGTGCTTATTCTGAAGCTACTAGCGAGCTCCCGCTGCCACCTGCCACCGCGATGGTGGTTGTATTGGTGGTTGTTTTGGTGATTTTTGTGAAGGTGTGTGTTGCTGATCCATTTTGATCGTGTGTGTGTTCTCTTTTTGGTTGGAAAACCACTACCACGACCGTAAGGTGTTGGTTGCCACCCATTGTTGTTTTCTGCCACCCTCCACTGCCACCAGCCGTCATGGGAGGTGGTTGTAGGTGTGTGTATATGGGTGTATGCTCGAGTGTTTTCACTGTTTCTGGTATTTCAGAGGTAGTATGCATTTTTATGTGGCTGAAAAACCCTCCATCACTACCGTGAGGTGGTGGCCGTCGCCGTGAGCCGCCACTGACCACCATTACCTAAGGTGGTAGTGGATGGTGCTTGACATATTAAGCCCTAATTGGCCCAAATGCTTGATCTGGACTAGTTGGATGGTGATTGGGCTAGAAACCCTAATTAGGGTTTAGAAAACCCTAATTTTGGGTTTGTTAGTTTGGATTTTACCGGGACCCACGGTTGGACAGTTAGATTGATATTGTGAATTATGTCCGAATTCATTGTGTGAATGGGCTAGTAGAGTGATGGACTTAATGGGTTAAGTCCTTAATGGGTTAAGTGAGAAACGCTTATCCCTAATCAACATTTTATGTGAAAACCTTAATTTTGCTTGGGCCTTAACTTGGGCCTTTCTATTGGGCTTTGGTGAGTGGGCATTTGATGAGCCATCCAAGAGAAATCATGTGGACTGGTGTATTTAGATGGGATTTAGGGTAAGGCTCATATGAGGGTTTGGGCCCAATTTGGAAAATTTGGCCATAGTTGGGCCATTAGTGGACTTTTGTGGACCCATTCGGTATTGGGCCTTAGTGGGCCCAGTAGCCTTGTGTTATTTATGGGTCGGGTTGGTGAACCATATTTAGACCTAATATGTGAAGGTTGGGTCTTAGATCCTAATGAGGTTAATTGTGGGTTTGACTCAGTGTTAAAGGCCAAATTACAAGAGCAACATTTATAGGATATGTTCTTCATTCGAGGTGAGTCTTCTCACTATACTTACCCATGTGGTAACTTGTGGGCCCCTCGATAATTTAGTGATGACAAACGCAAGTGCTTGGGCGGGCCTAGACTGATTTGATTTGATCAATTAGTCGGTCGTCATAAATCAGAAATCGGGGAAAAACAGATGGACAGAGAGTATGATTATAATCCATGTCTCAGTATACATGGTATCTAGAATGGCAGAATATATGACCCCTTATCTAATGGACACGTCGTTGATTAGGTCAGAGTTCGACAACAACTTTTAAGAGCTACGATAGCTAGTCGGGTTTTGGAGTCATACTTGCAATAATAGTTTTAGACTTATCCAAGTGGGAGACTATTGGATTAGATGTCTAAGCCCATAATTATTATTGGTATGTACTTGACCCAAGAGTAGTATGGTCCATTTGGGTTGCATATCATCATGACAATTTGTTAGGATGGATTCGTGAGAGAAGGTTATATATATATATATATATATATATATATATATGTATATATGTATATATGATTTATTAATATATTATAAGTTATAATATATTAATATGAAATCATATGTTTTAATTAGTATTGATAAAGAATTAATTTGGAATTAATTTAGTTATCAAAAGTGACTAATTAAATCTATGGGGACTAATTATGATAATTAGTTATATTTATATTTATATGTTTTGGGCTTATGATCCATGTTGGACCAAGTTTATGTATAGATACATAAAGATTTGGGCCACATGAACCATGGATCATAAACCCATGGGTATGGTTTTGGGTTATACCCATGGCCCTTTAATTGCAACAT